CTGCCCCAACAGCCTGCCTTTTTCAACTGGGCCCCTGTCATCCACTCCTGCTCTGCCTGGTCCTATGCCCCAGTGGTTAGAAAACTCACCTCCCGCATCACTCTCTGTATCCCAATGATAATGAATCAGCCCCTGCCAAGGATTAAGCCCCCTCCTTAACTCAGGCTGTCTGCTGCTCACTCCCATTCATCTAAGATCCAAACCCCCGTGTTTTACTCCAGATCTGCCTGTCTCTTCAACTGTGCCCTCTAGAATTCCCACTATATGATTATCAAACTTCTTTTCTTTTTTTAGACGTCCTCCTCTCTTCCTTGCTGACACACGTACCTAATGTCTCCCCCATTCACATTAGACTCCTTGAGTTTAGAGATTGCTTTGTATTTTATACTTGTATCTCTGCACCTGGCACATAATTGGTGTGTAATAAAGGTGCCTAATAAATGCTTTTTGATAGACTGACATCCTCTACTCCATTTCTCCTGCAATACATCTTGTTCACAATGTACTATAACTTACTCACTTCCCACTGCATGCTTTCCCATTGGCTTTTGGAGGATAGCATCAAGTGCTGGAGCTGTGCAGTCTCTTAAATGAGATCCATAATCTCTCCAGAGGGTTTGGCACAATTACTCAAATGGAAAAAGTCAAGGGGATAAAGAATGCCCAGACTTTACTGTGGACAACTTATAGGACTTATACATAAGTAGAGGTGGGAGGGGGAAAGAAAGGACAGAGGGAAGGGAGGGGAAAGAGGGGGGAGAGAGAGGGGGAGAGAGGAGAAAAAGGAGAAAGAGAGAGGAGGGAGAGGGGGGAGAGAGGAGAGGGAGAGAGAGAGAGAGAGAGAGAGAGACAGAGAGAGAGAGACAGAGAGAGAGACAGAGACACAGAGAGAGAGAGAGAGAGAGAGAGAGAGAGAGAGACAGAGAGAGACAGAGACAGAGACAGAGACAGAGACAGAGACAGAGACAGAGACAGAGACAGAGACAGAGATGCTGTTGATAAGACAGCTCAAAGGGACAGTGAGCTGGGCCCAGAATTGACAGAGGAAAGAGCAGGCTGGATTGCTTCAGAAAATTTCCCAGTTCTTTTGATCATCTCAAGTTTCTTTGGAAACAAAGAGTTGTCTTTTTACCACTATTTTTTGGTGACATTATCTGGCTCTAAGGTCTAGAACACTGCCGTCTCCAAGACGAGGACCACTCACTTTTGGTGCCCCCACCATGGTAATGTCTGTTTCTGTGGCTCTTTAAAGGTTACAAAATGCATTCCTCAGAATAGCCCTGTAGAGTAGGTAGTGCTAGTATAATGCCTCCCATTTTGCAGATGAGAAAACTGAGACTTGATGTAAAGTTAATTTCTGGAGACCAAAGAGCTCATAGGTGGCAGAGCCACATTTCGAACCCAGGTCTCCTGATTCTTTATTTCAAGGCTCTTCTTCTCCGACCAATACTTCCTGACCTAGGTGGACATCCTCTAAGTAAGGCCAGGGAACTAGATCTAGGCCACGATGGGTCACACATGGACTGTTTCTATTTTTAACTTCTCAAATAGAGTTAGAGCAGTCAAACAAATGGGCCTGAATGAAATGAGGGCAGAACTGCAATAAGTCAGACAGAGGACAACCCAAAAAACTGTAACCAAAATAGAAACCAAGACTCACGCCAAAGTCCTGGCCTTTTTTAGGCTCTTCATATATCTGATATCAGGTGACAAAGCATGAGATCATGAGGTAAATGGGAAAGGGGGTGGGTGGGTGGAAACAGTGATTCCATCAGCCTGTGAAGTTTGGATTATGTTTTTTAATTAAAATTTGTTTTTAATTAATAAGCATTTATTTTCTCTTCCTCCTACCTCCCCTCACCAACTGTGGAAAAAAAAGAAACCAAAAATTAAAAGACTCTTATAACAAGTATGTACAGCAAAGTAAAACACTTTCCTACACTGACCATGTCCAAAAATAAATTTCTTATTCTGCACCCTGAGTCTCCCACCTGTCAGCATTCTTTATCATCAGTTCTCTGGAATCATGATGGTTTCTTGTGCAAATTGGAGTTCTTAAGTCTTTCAAAGTTGTTCAATTTCATAATGATGCCATGGTAGTGTACATTGTCCTCAGGGCTCTGCTTACTTAACCTAAAAAGTATTTAAATGGACAGACCCAAAAGAGAAGAGAAGGAAACTTTCCAAACATTTCAAATTATATTGTAAGTTTAAAGGGCCAGGACTGTGTTGATGAGTCTGCTTGGCCGAGTATCAGGAGGGATCTGGGCTTGAATCCTAGCTTCTACTGGGGTGGACACTATGGTACTATAGTACAAGGAAGTTGGAAGAGAGGGATGGTGGTGAAGACTTCTCATAGGAAGAGGCCTCTAAGCTGATTCTTGAAGGAAGCTCAAGACTTTAAGAGATGGAGGTGAGGATGGAGAATGTTCCAGCCATGGCAGGCAGAGTGTGCAAAGGTATGAAGAGGACACAGCTCGGGGAGGCCCACAGAACACACTAGGATATTCCACACAACCACAGAGTTGCAGAATTCAGGAGTTATAAGGAACTTTGGTGACTATCTAATCTAACCCATACAAAGCAGGAATATAAACTGGAAAGTCATTAGCATGTAGATCATAAGATCACTACGAGAGAGTGAAGAGAAGAAGACCCAGACCAGAGCTTGGGAAGACCCGTCTTTAAACAGCAGGAAGTAAATGGGGATCCAGCAAAGGAGACTGAGAAAGAGGGAACAGATAGGTAGAAGAACCCAGAAAGGAGAAGGTCCAGAAATCAAGAGAGAAGAGATTCTCCAGGAAGAAGAGACGGTTGAAGCATCAAAAGCCAGAGAGAACAAGAGGAATGAGGAGTGGGAAAAGCCCATTGGATCAGGCCTCTGGAACATCATTTGTAACCTTAGAGAGAGCACCCACCTTCAGCTGGGTGGTGGGCTCGGAAGTCAGACTGCTTGGGGATCTTGGGAAAAACCATGTCATCTGTCTAACCATGCATTTCCTCATTCCTCATGCTAAATGATGATCCTTCCACTCACAGGACTAGGTTGCTCTGGGAACAGTTCTTTGTAAATGCTAGGGTGCTATGGAAAGGACCTCTCAGCAAGTGGGAACACTCTCTAAATGTCTGTGATGTAAAAACAGAACACATCAACAAAACTTTAAAAAAAATGGAAACAAAATGGACCCTGAACACGAAAGAGAAAGAAAAGTGAGCTATACTTGTTGTTGTTATTGTTATTCAGTTGTTTTCAGTTGTGACTCCATTTGGGATTTTCTTGACAAAGATACTGGAGTAGTTTGCCATTTTCTTCTCTAGGCCATTTTACAGATGAGGAAACTAAGGCCAATAGGGTTAAGGAACTTGCCATGGATCCCATAGCTAGTAAGTGTCTGAGGCTGGATTTGAACTCAGGCCCTCCTGACTCCAGGCCTGGCACTCTGACCGCTGAACCACCTAGCTGTAATTAAATGGCTCTGGATCTGGAGTCAGAAAACTTGGATTCAAATCTTCCTCTGTCACTTACTACTTGTGTGACCTTGGGTGAGTCACTTAACCTCTCCCCAGTTTCCTCACCTGTAAAATGAGGGAGTTGGACTCAGTTGCCTTTAAGGTCTCTTCCAGCTTCAAATCTATGATCTTCTGAACCGTTGAACTCACTGGGCCTGTTTTCTCCTTTGTAAAAAATGAGACTCTTTGACTAGCTGAATTCTCAGACCCCTTCCAGTTCTGAACCCTAAAGCCTGTGATCTTCAAGAACTACAGAGAGCTTTGACTCGCTGGGCCTTTTCCCCATTGCCTTCAAACCCTCCTGGAATCTTGTCATCAAAACTTGTTCTCAGACCCTTCAGCTACCCTAAAGTTTCAAAGGGGCATAAGAGATGAAAGTCATCTGTAGTTAAGAATTGTTTTGCCTGCGGCAAGTGGGAATTGAAAGGCATCTTCCCTGCTGGAGAGATAACTGCAGAATCTGAGGAACCGGCCAGGGGAGGCAAAAGCTCACTTCTATGCATGTGCTGTTACTCCCTTTAAATTTGTTGCCATAGGGCAAAACCCCATTAGCTCTGTCCTTGTTTATACTCCCTTCATATGCCTTTAAAAGCAATGCCTAAATTTAAAGGGAGGAACGCCTGGACAGTAGGATTTCAGGCATCAGCCAATAGGGAAGAAGAGGGATGGAAAGTAGGGGTATGTTTGTGCAGGAGGACAATGTAAAATCCGATCTTCGGGGAAGGTAAGCACAGAGAAAAGTTTGCTGGATTTAGCCATTGGTGACCTTGGAGTGAGTGGGTTCAGTGGAGAGTGTCCAGCCAATAGCTCAGCTACAAAGGAATGAGGAATAAGTGGGTATTGAAAAAGTGGAGGCTGCCAGTGTAGACGACACTGTCTATTTCTAGCTGAGAAAAGGCAGGGAGAAATTTAAGGTTGGGACAGTCAAGACAATATGTTATTTGTTTTTAGGATAGGGTCTGTGGACAGTGAGCAAAGGAGTCTGAAGAGAAGGAGAAAGAGAGAGAAAGAGAGAGAGAGAGAGAGAGAGAGAGAGAGAGAGAGAGAGAGAGAGAGATGAAAAATGAGAGAGAGGTAGATGTTCAGGTAACAGCACACAGGGATATTTGTTAATTCTTACAGTGAAAATCTTTGGCTGGTAACATCGGGCTCTCGTCAGCCCATAGTCGGCCTGATAATGTAAGTGGACTTGGGGACCTTTGGCTTTAACTCCTGTTCCTATGGAGGCAGAAAAATGGGAATTAACATATTTTCATTCTACATGGTTCAACTACTTGTAGAGCGATTGTTTATTCTTCATTCTGGAAGAGGACCAATGATATAATGATGTCTTGACACACACAAATTGAATTGAAGTGCAGCAGAACTACACAAAGTTATCAGCCTACTCTCTTCCAGAGTCATCCAAGTCTGGCGGCAGGACAAAAGTCAGGATGACTGGTGATGACCCAGGATGTAGTGGATAACCTTGGTGTCTGACGTCTGACCAAGCTCTAAGCACTCCACAGCACCTGCTTTGGCCTCCTTCATGGCCATTGGAACAACGTGTTCTCATCCATGCTTGGCTGAAATCAAAGGAGCAAATATTGATTGGGCACCTGGGATATACCAGGCACTAATAACTTTTGCACAGAGCCCAGCACTTAGGAAGTGTGTACTAAGTGATTTTTCATTCATTCATTCTGCTACAGTTGACATGGCTCTCCCATTCACTCTCCTGCTCTCTCTTTTTTCCTTAAACATAAGTATCTGTAGGAAACACAGACAGAAAACTTCACAGATTAGTAGCACACAGAATATTCAAGCTGGAAGAGATCTTAGAGATAAGCTAGACTACCCCCTCATTTCATTTTATTTTATTTTTTTATAGAAAGCATGTTTAATAATTTAAGGGAACAAGTTGTTTTCAAGTACTTTAGAAGAAATATATATATATATATACATATATATATACATATATATATATATACACACACACACATATACATATGTATTTGATTGGTTTACAATTAGCATAATAATAAATCATCCTTACCTACTCTCTTAAAATCCTCCAAAAGACTTTTAGATATTATTATGTAAACTCATTTCAAATTTCTTTATACCCTTAAAATTAATCAGATAATTTCATTTATAATATTCTATGGTATAGATGTTTTTGATAATTCAGCCTAGCCCAGACTTCTGCTCCTTAACCCTGATGACCAAATCACTACACATTAATGAGGATTTACAATACACCTATTACCCAGAGGCACTCTTCCAGCTATGTCATGCTTCTGGTATCAACATAGCAGAATTCAGTGGGTTTGGGGCATTTGAGGGGTTCATATTGATAAGAAAGCCAGTTAAATCTGCGGGGTCAGGATAATTGTGCTGGGCCTAAACTCACTATCATTTCTGAAAATCACAGGTAGACCAATGGCCTGAGAAGTTAGAGGTCAAATTCAGGGACTAAAAGGTCTATGGTCTACAGTGTTAGGATCATACCAGAGATCGGGGAACCAGGATGGCAGAGAAGGTAGGAAGATAAAGCCAGGTACCCCATACTCCAAACGGAAAATGCTCCATAGAAATAATAACAGCAACAGCCACAAGAATAATAGAATTAATCCCTTATTTGATTGAAGGCTTAAAATAATGTCACCAAGAACAAATAAATTCCAAGTTTGTCTAATCCTAGTATTGTCTATCTTAAAACTCTCCATCTTTTCTATATGAATGTGAAAATTTTCCAGGGGATATGTGTTCTCGTTTGTTTCCTACAATAACTCTGTGAATTAAGCAAGGCAGGTACTACTGTACCCATCTGATGACTGAGTCAAGTATATGGTAGAGCCAGAATCCAGGAGGGCAGCTCAATATATGATTCTTTCAAATAATCTTTTCAATTATTAAGCATTTATTTTCTCCTTCCTATCTTCTTCCCCTCTGCATTAGGGGAAAAAAAAAGGAAATCAAAATCTTTATAACAAACAAGCGTTATCAAACAAAAACAAATTTTAATATTGGCCATGTCAAAAAACCTGCTTCTCCATCAGTCTTTTGATTCTCTGTCAGAATCTAGGTAGCTTTCTTTATCATGAGTCTTCTGAAATTGTGATTGATCTGAGTTCTTAAGTCTTTAAAATTGTTTTTATAATGTTGATGTGATAGTAAAAATTGTTCTGGTTTACTCTCATTTCACTTTGCATTTGCTCATACATATCTTCTCAGATTTCTCTACAATTCTTCCTTTCTTTTTTAAAAATGTTTTAAAAATTTATTATTTATTTTTAACATTCTTTTCTTCTTAAAATTTTAGTTCCAAATGATCTCTCTCCCTCCCCACCCCTTCCCTTACCCACTGAGAAGGCAAGCAATATATCAATTATACATGAGAAATCATGCAAAACATTTCCATATTAGCCATATTTCCCCAAAAAGCAAGAAAAATAAAGTGAGAAAATTGTACTTCAGTTGCACTCAGAGTTCATCAGTTCTGTCTATGAAATAACATTTTGTATCATGAGTCCTTTGGAATTGTCTTCGATCACTATAGTGATCAAAGTAGCCAAGTCTTTCACAGCTGATCATCATTACAACATTGCTGCTACTATGCACAATGATTTCCCAGTTCTTCTCACTTCACTTCGCATCAGTTCATACAGGTCTTGTCATGTTTTTTTCTGAAACCACCCTCTTCATCATGTCTCTTTTTTACATTCCTGTTAAACATATTTTCACATTGGTGATGTTGTAAGTAAGAATTAGAACCAATAGGAGGAACCACCAGAAAGAGGAAACAGAACACAACAGAAGAAAAAAATAGCAAATAGTACTCTTCGATCTGCATTCAAACTCCATAGTTCTTTCTTTGGATGTGGATAGCATTTTCCATCACGAGGCCTTTGGAGATGTCTTAGATCCTTGTATTGCTGAGAAGGATTAAGTCTATCAATATCAGTCATTGTACAGCATGGCTGTTACTGTGTATAATGTTCTCCTGACTCTGCTCACTTCACTCAGCATCAGACCATACAAGTCTTTCCAGGTTTTTTCTGAAGTCTATTTGTTTATCATTTCTCATAGCACAATAGTATTCCATTACATTCATATGCCACAATCTGTTCAGCCATTCCCCAATTAATAGGCATCCTCTCAATTTCTAATTCTTCGCCACCACAAAAAGAGCTACTATAAATATTTTTGTACAAGTGGGTCCTTTTCCCATTTGTATGATCTCTTTGGGATACAGCCCTAGAAGTATTATTGCTGAGTCAAAGGGTGTGATGCACATTTCTGTAGCCCTTTGGGCAGAGTTCCCAATTGCTCTCCAGAATGGTTGGATCAGTTCACAACTCTACCAACAATGCATTAGTATTCCAATTTTCCCACATCTTCTCCATCATTGATCAGTTTCCTTTTTTGTCATGTTGGCCAATCTGATAGGTGTGATGTGGTACCTCAGAGTTGTTTTGATTTGCATTTCTCTAATCAATAATGATTTAGAGCATTTTTTCATATGACTATAGATGGCTTTAATTTCTTCATCTGAGAACTGCCTGTTCATATCCTTTGACCATTTAACAATTGAGGAATGATTTGTATTCTTGTAAATTTGCCTTAATTCTCTATATATTTTAGAAATGAGGCCCTTATCAGAGACACTGGTCATAAAAATTCTTTCCTAATTTTCTACTTTCCTTCTAGTCTTGGTTGCATTGGCTTTGTTTATGCAAAAACTTTTCAATTTAATGTAATCAAAGTTAATCCATTTTGCATTTCTTAATGTTCTCTATCTCCTGTTTGGTCATGAATTCTTCTGTTCTCCATAAATCTGATAGGTAAACTACTTCTTGCTCTCCCAATTTGCTTACAGTATCAGCCTTTATGTCTAAATCATGAACCCATTTGGACTTTATTTTGGTATATGGTGTGAGATTTTGGTCTATGCCTAGTTTCTGCCATACTTTTTTCCAATTTTCCCAGCAGTTTTTGTCAAAGAGTGAGTTCTTATCCCCCCCTTCATCATATCTTATAGCACAACAGTAATCCATCAAAATCATATTCCACACTTGTTCAATCATTCCACAGTTGATTTCCCTTGATTTCCAATTCTTTGCCACCACAAAAGAGCTGCTATAAATATTTTTGTACATATAGGCCCCTTTCCTTTTCCTTTGATCTCTTTGGGATAAAGATCTAGTAGTAGTGTTGCTGGGTCAAAGTACATAGATAGTTTTATAGCCCTTTGGTCATAGTTCCCCACAAAGGTTGGACCAGTTCAATACTCCATCAATAATGCCTTAGTGTACCTACTTCCCCCATCTCCTCCAGAATTTGTCACTTTTGATAGGTGTGAGGTGGCACCTGAGAGTTGTTTTAATTTTTCTTTCTCTAATCAATAGTGATTGAGAGCATTAGTTTTCATATAACTATAGATAGCTTTGATTTCTTCTTCTAAATCATTTATCAATTGGGAATGGTTCTTGTTCTTATAAATTTGACTGAGTTCTATACTAAGTACATATTTGAGAAATGAGGCCTTTATCAGAGAAACTTGCTGTAAAATTTTTTATATTACTTCATTGACTGTGATAGTTGTTCAGTTATGTCCAACTCTTTGTGACCCCATTTGGGATTTTCTTGGCAAAGATTCTGGAGTAATTCACCATTTCCTTCTCCAGCTCATTTTAGAGATGAGGAAACCAAGGCAAATAGGGTTAAGTGACTTGCCCAGGGTCACACAGCTAGTAAGTATATGAGGTTAGATTTGAACTCAGTTCCTCCTGACTCCATGCCTGGCACTCTATCCACTGTGCCACCTAACTGTCCATCATGATTGCTACCTGTACCTTTTTTCAGTTCAGCTGAAGTATATTAGATTCTCCTCCAGCCCTTTATTTTAACTCTGTGTTTATTTTTCTGTCTCAAATCTGTCTCTTCTAAACAACATATTGTTGGATTCTGGGTTCTAATCCATTCTGTTTTCTGATTCCATTTTGTGGGTGAACTCATCCCATTCACATTCACAGTTATGTTTACTAAATGTGTATTTCTCTCCATCCCATCTTTATTTGTTTATTGTTTATTTTATACTGTCCCTCCTCAGAAGTCTATTTTGCTTCTAACCACTGCCTCCCTTAATCTGTCCTCCCTTTTATCACATCCTTCTCCCCTTTTCTCTTACCCCCTTCCTCTCCTATTTCCTTGAAAGTGTAACCAGGACCCTTGCTCTCTTGTGACTGACCTCAAGTGTTCCTCTCCTCCCTGGAGCCATGACCCAGAACTGCATAAGGACAAGAGAATTGCCAATCAGTGCCAGCTGCACTCAGTGCCAGCAAAGGGTCTCCTGTAATCTCTCTCTGATCAGTTGTCTGATCCTCCTTAAAAGTCTCTGTGCTTAGAGCTCCTGAAGTTGCTGCTGCCACCACCACTGCCACTGTGAGTGGGACTCTAGGCAGGCTTCCAAACCTCACAAACTTTTCCTGATTGACTGGAAAAATGTCTCACTCCAACCCTTTGTAGGCTCTGTCACTCCAAAATTTGGTTTGAGGCATTATTTAAATGTTGTTTGTAGGGGAATGTTGAGAGAGTTCAGCTGGGTCACCTCTAATTCATCTTCTACCCTCCTCATTTTAAAAAGAAGGGAGGCACAAAAATCTTAAGATACAACCCTAATAGGGTAGGTCAGAGAGGACTCTGTTTCATAGCTCCATCTCAGGGCTGCCATCTTAGTAATTCAAGATTCTCTGTGGTCTCTGCTTCTACAAGATCCCAAGAAAATCCTGCAATTCTTCAATAGTCTGCCTTCTACCATGAGGGTCTTGCCCCTCTCTCATCTTGCTACCCCTCCCTCTTACCCTCCCCAACATGCCTCCTAGGAGATGTCCATATGGATTGCACCAGACTAGTCTCCAATGCCCCATCCCTCTTCTCCATGAGATTTGCAGGACTGACTGCAGGTTGGGCTTCCCTCTGCAAAGTTTTTCATGCCTCTTCCTGTGATTCCTGGGTTAGACTGCTTTATACCCGATTAGTACAGTCAGTGTTCTACACTGTCTTCTTCTTCCCCACCGTGGCATTTGTCACAGGCTCTGTAATTCTTAGTAATAGCTCTGAGAGCAGTCACTTGTCCCAGGTCACACTGTTAATAAGGGACAAATCTAGGAGGCTAAGCCAGGCCTTTGGCCTCAGTCCTGTGTTCTCTTCCCTCTAACAGACTGTCCTACGGAAGTTTGTGGCTTGCACTCATAGGCTCCTCCTCTGAGTCCATCATGCAGCCAGAATGTAAATGGTCTAAAATGTCGGCTCCTAAAGTCGTAGATTGAGAACTGGAAGGGATGCCTCAGAACTCATAGCAGGATAAGAGTGGACCCAGAGGAGACCACAGAGGTCATCTCATTCTCCCTCTTTGTTTTTGTATGTGAGGACCCCACAGGGAACAAGAGCCAGGGGTAGGAATTGAATCCAGTCTTCCAGCTTCAGATTCCATGCTCTGTCCACTGCCTCTGCACAGCTGCAGAGCTGTCTCCAGGCCCACCACAGAGGCCTTCAAAAACTGCAGCCATTATTTCCAGTCACTAGTTTGCCAGGAGTGTTAGGTAGAGGCAGTAGGAGAGTGTTCTGGAGGCCTGGGTCACAGGCATCATAGAAATCTGGGACGAGTGATCCAGTTTTTATTGCAAGGGCAAGAGAGCTCTAGGCATCAATGAAACCGTTATGTGGATGGATAAACCACCAAGGAATGACAAAACCTTCCCTCCAAAGAGAAAGCAGCCAACTTTTTAAATCACAAGTCCAGACCTCTGTGGTAATTTTTGGACAGTGGAGCAAAGTATCCTCAGATGCTCCCTGATGGCTGCTGATCATTGGGTTATAGATTTAAGGATGGAAGGGACTTTGAAGGTCATCTCATGTGACTCACTCATTTTACAGATGAGGATAATGAGGCCTGGGGAGATTAAGTGCAAGGTCACAAAGTTAAGGTTGAGAAGGGGAAGGGAATAGGCATTTATATAGAACATGAGCCAGGTACTGTGCTGGGTGCTTTACAAATATCATCTTATATAATCTTCACAATGACCCAACAGGGGAGTTTAAGTGACTTGCCCAGGGTCACAGAGCCAGTATTTGAGACCAGATTTGAACTGGGGTCTTCCTGGTGCCAGGCTTCCCAATCCAGCAGGCTGCCCATTATACTGCTTGCCTCCCACCACGCCGCTACTAAGTGGCACAGGCAATATTCGAACCCTCATCTTTGCATTATAGAGCCAGTGCTCTTTCCACCATATTGTGTAAGGGGTTACTTAGGAAATGCCCTGCCCTTTTAAGTGTGATACAAGTCCCTAAGCAGCAAAAGAAATAATGGTAAAAATAAGTCAGATCCAGGAGGATTGGATCTGGTATCTGTGTCTGTCTCTCTTCTTTCTGATTTGCGTGACCTTGCATAAGTCACTTCTCCTGGTCTATGCCCCAATTTCCTCCTCTATAAACTGAGGGGCCTGGAGCGTGAAATTTCCAAGGCTCCTTCAAGCTTGAAAGGATTTTGCATAGTTTCCTAATATGCAAGAGTGAAGTGTGTTTATCTTTTCTATGCCAATGGCTGTTCTGTGAATGCTGTATCATAAAAGCATTTTGGTGGATACAAATGCAAAGATGCCCATTTGCTGGTTGAATCAAGAAAAGGCCAATAATCCCACTTCATTTTATTAATTTAGACATAGCTCCTGCTGGTACAGCTGGTATTGCTATTCTTAGGGTGAGGGTGGGGGAGGTGGGGAGCCACTCATGTTAACAGACAGACTCAATCAGATTCAGGCAATGACTGCTCTACCCACCATTCTCCTTTTCCAGCTCTCCTCCCCGCCCTTCCCTTCAATCTCCCCCAAATGAATCATCTCCTACAGACTGAGCTCCGGCAATGCTGGAAATCAGAACAATCCATGTGAGAATGAAATTAATCAAAACAAGATGGAGTACCTGCCGTCCATCATGGGCAGAGCAGTGATTAATGGGGCTCCCGCTCACGGTTGGAACGATGGAGAAAATCAATGAGGGCCCAGGGGATGGAAGCTGAAACAGCAAGAAAGTCAGAGATCTTTCTGGAATAACAACTTGCTTTGTATTTCTGGACAGACATAAAAGTGTCTGTCCCCCCTCTCCCCCCACCATTTGTAGAGAAGAACAGTAAGAGATCAGCAGTCGGGAGGGCATTTGATGGGATGGAAAGAGCTCTGAGTTTGGAGCTGAAGAGATCCTTAGACAGTTGTAACTAAGGTAGGGCAATCAGAGTTTTGATTCAGGGTACTGAAATTCAAGAGGGCACCAGTCTAACATGTGCATTCCTTAAGTAGAGCATAAGGTACCATAGCAATTAATTCTCCCTCTTGCTCAAATAAACTTGTCTTAATTACTTCTCATATTAATTTTACATAAGAAATTACAAAGTTGATTTGAGGGTAGTTTCCTACTCCTTGATCCAGATATGATTTGTGCATTTACTGTGGGCAGACAGGGCAGGAAAGTTGTTAGTTGGGAATCTGATAGGTTATCTAGGTGATGCAGGGCAGCTGGGTAGTACAGTGGATAGAGAGCTGGAGTCAGGAAGACTCATCTTTCTGAGTTCAAATCTAGCCTTGGACGCTAGCTGTGTGACCCTGGGCAAGTCACTTAAGCCAGTTTGCTTCAGTTTCCTCTGCTGTAAAATGAGCTAGAGAAGGATAATGGCAAACCACTGCAATATGTTAGCCAAGAAAACCCCAAATGAGGTCATGAAAGGTTGGATATGACTGATACAGCTGAACAACAACAAAGCCCAACAGATTTGCTTTTCAGTTAAGGAAATTGAAACCCAGTGAAGTTAAACCATCGAGGGTTAAGAGGTCATAAGCAGCAGGGCCAAAATTCTAGCCAAGAACTCTGACCCTGAATCCAGCTCTCCTGCTACTCTCTGGACTCTGCAAATTAGATTCTGTGGGGAGCCTGGTTATAAACACAGGCTTTTCTATTTGTTGTTACTATGTAGTTACACTGTAGGCAAGCGAGCCTTTCTAAGCCTCAGTTTTTTCATTTATAAAATGGGGATAAAAATAAGGCAAGTACCTGTAGCATTTACCTTAGTGGTTTGTAAAGTTCAACACATGGAAAAGGGGATGTTTGGGTTAGTAGCTATTTTCCATGCCCACAAAAGAAGCAAAGCAAAAGAAATGATAAAAATGTGTGAATTGATAATATTATGAAATGGGGGTAGGTATTCCTGGTTTGTGGGTACTCGCTGGGAAAGACCGCTTCTAGTGGCAGGAAATGAGGCAGTAATCACAATTTAATTATGTACAGAGGGCGTGGGGGGAAATAGCACAGAAAGTACAGAAACATATGGCAAAGGGGGAACACAGGCAAACAGCCCGAGGTTAGGGTATAGGATGGTGAAGGGAAGTGGTGTGAGGAAGAAGATGGGGAGGGGGAGAGGCAGAGAGTATCACTCCTGTAGCCACAGATTACAGCAGGAAGCTCCTGGCAGTGTGGACCCCCAATGCAGATGAGGGCTTGGGGGCAGGAGTTTGAAGTCTCCTTCTTATAGTGTTTTTTGGGGAATAGACTGACTTTGCTCTGTGCCACCTTGGGATTAGTTCGTTAACATTACCTGAATCATCTCAAAGTTGTCAGCTAAACTTTAAAGTTAATGTGTCCACATCATCTCAAAATTATCAGCACCATTTGGTGATCTGCTTGCTAGTCATTACTACGGAGGTCTGGAATTTCTCTGGGATTTACAAACCACAGGACAAAAAGGCCCTGACTGCCGAGCCTAAGATGCCTTCACCTTATTCAGCACATGTTACCAGGATGTGAATTTGGGTCAATATATGATACAGTCTGCAAATGACACCCCTCTGATCTTTGAGACAGTCTGTAGGTAACTTCTAGGCTCCCCTTTGCAATCTGCTAATGCCCTTTTATACTGGCTACTTATAAAGTCAGTCACTATGCTGACCAGGGGCAGGGAGTGATGGTCAGGGGTACCAGGACGAGATACAATTTTAAGACAATGTGTGACTGGAAACATATGGGCCAGTCAAGCAGTGAGAACCAGGCATAGCTGATGGGAAGCTCTCATGCTCCATTTCAGACCTCAAGCTCAAGTATGACCACATCACTCCCCTACTCAGTAAACTCCTATGGCTCCCTATTACCTCTAGGATCAAATATAAAATTGTGTGGCTTTTGAAGCTGTTCATAACCTGTTATTTTCCTACCTTTCCAGTCTCCTTATACTTTATTCCCTTCCATGTGTCTAATTAGACTGGCCACAAGACCCTCCATCTCCCGACTCTGGGCTTTTCCATTGGCTGTCCACACATGTGGCACACTCTTCCTCCATGCCTCAGGCTCTTGGCTTCTCTGGCTTCCTTCCCACCCTCCACATGTGGTCTTTCCCAGTCCCCCTGCATCCTGTCCCCTTCTCCCTTCTAGGGGCTTCCCTATGAAATTACCTAGCATTACTCTGTACATGGCTTATACATATGCTGTCATTTATGTTATTTCATTAGAATTAGAAAGTGAGCTCCTTGAGGACAGGGGCCATGTTTTTGCCTTTCTTTGTATCCTTTGCATAGTGCCTGGCACATACTAAGTACTTTAAAAAAATTGTTGATTGACTGACCAAAAGAGATCACAGAACATAAGATCATTGATTGAGAACTGAACTGAAAGGGACCTGAAAGGTCATCAAGGCCAATCTGTGTACTTTACAGATGAGGAAACCAAGGCCCAAGTCACATAAGGTAATAAGTCAGAATTTGAACCCAGGTCCTATGATTGTAAGTTTAATGCTTTTTCTAATCCACAAGGAGGCGCCAGCATTCAGAGTAGGACCCAGATGGAGGATACGAACAAGAGTAAGAATTGCAGCAATTGACAAAGGACTCCCATTGTGATGAGGTCATGCGTCCCCACAAGAGCCAAGCACAGTGACTGATGTGCTCTGCCCAGAAGCCAGTCTGCCACTACAAAAGTGTCCAAGAATGGCCTGGGTACAAAGGGGCACTTCATGGTGAGTGCAGACCTGAGTGCATTGTGAGATTTTCAGGGAATCAGCATGACCTGAGGGCTGATAGCTGTAATGTTCAATATATAACATCACCTCATGCCTTCTCTACAGCTCACATTTGATGGGAGTGAGATCATTTTTTGAGATGGGTTAAGTCTTCCACGCACCTCGCCCTCACCCCCAGGTCCCCTTTCTCACCCAAACCATCCTCTTCTCAGAGTTTCACTGCCCCAGCTCCCTGAGACCCAGACTATGAATCTTCGGGGACACCAGGATTAGAAGGACGCTCTTGGAAGCTGCAGAGTAGGTCATCCTGAGACAGACAAAGGTCAGGCAATTCACAAATGCCGACAATCTGTGAGGCGCCTGGCAGAGGGAAGAGCTCTCTGGCTCAGCATCATAGTTTGCCACATTCTCAATTTCATCCCCTTCGGGTTTTCGTTTTATTTTGTTTCATGGGAAGACCTGTTGGTCCCAGAGTTGAGGGTCCTGAACTGAAATGGCACCCCTGACACTCGCTGGTCATGTGAACATCCTTGAGCTCTGTTAGGCGGTTTCCTCTTGTGTAAAATGAGGACAATGATAATAAAAATGTAATGATAACTGTAGTACGTACATTTAGAGGCAAAGGATGGCACAGCGTATTGAGCACTGGCCTGGAGTCAGGAACGCCTGGCTTCTATGCACTCCGATCCTGTTTTGAACACATGCTGGCCACATAAGCCTGGACAAGTCGCTCACACTCTGAGTCATCCAGGAAACTCAGTAAGACTTTAAGTTGCCTCACAGGGAACCATCTACATTGGGAGGGAGAGTTTGCCCACTGGGGATTTCCTCTATCAGTAAGGTCATAGGTCTGGCCAACCCTACCCCCCAAACCCCAAGAAAAAGAAAGTATTGGTCTCCCAGGTTTATTACGATGATCAAATAAATTAGGAAAACACTTTGCACATCTTGAGGTGAGATATAAATTCAGTTATTTTTGTTGTTGTTGGCTTAGGGAGCAATGCCAACCCCTTCCTTCTACAGAGGAAGAAACTGAGAAAAAGAGAACATAAATAATTTGTCCAAGGTCACACCCAGGGAGGGGCAAAGGGAAGGTTAGAATACAGGAGTTTGTCTCCAAGTTCAGCACGTATCCCATTCTGCCTGCAACTAAGCTGTCCACTTCTCTCTCCATTCAAATTTTGCTTTGGCCATTAAAAATTAATGTAGTAATCATAGTAATGATGATGTAGGGCAACTGGATAACACAGTGGATAGACTGCCAGGCCTGGAGTCAGGGAGACTCTACTTCCTGAGTTCAAATCCAGAGTCAGACACTAGCTAGGTTACCTTGGGCAAGTCACTTAACCCTGTTTGCCTCAGTTTACTCATCTGTAAAATGAGCTGGAGAAAGAAATGGCAAATCACTCTAGTATCTCTGCCAAGAAAATCCCCAAATGGGGTCACAAAGAATTGAACTGAAAACAACAATCATCACCAATATTGATAAATTCCTGTTAAGTTTGTCATGCATTTCATATGAATCCTCTAATTTTAGTTTCAGAACTACACTGTGAGGTGTTTACAGCGTTATCCTTGCGCTCATTTTATACGTAAGGGGTACAACTGGGGAGCTGGTGAGGAGATATCAGTGTGCTCAGCTTGCATAGTCTCCCAAGTGGAAGAGTCTGGGGAGCTGCCTCCTGGAGAGTCATGATGATAAGTAATGGAAATGCCTTGGTGAGATCTGGAGCATGAGCCTACAGTCTGTAACTGACTTTGTTCTGCTAACTAGTGATGAAGAAAAATCTCTTTGATGGACCCACAAAGTAGTGGGGGCACATTCAAAGAGTGCTAATCCACAAAAATTAGTCTTCTTGTTTGGATTTGTCCCTGCCTGGTTTGTGTGTGTGTGTGTGTGTGTGTGTGTGTGGTAAGATAAGAGAGATGATGCTACAAGGACAGAGGCTTTGGACTTCCCCATCGAAGGCCAATATGTGGCCTATGAAAACAGGCCTTGGTTCTTTGCCTTGCCATT